TTCAATTCGTAATGCCACGAGGAGATCCCTGCTGGTCATTTGTACAATACCTGAACTTTGCATTATGGATTTCAGGATCCACACAGGAAGTTGGCGAAGTGGAGGCGGCGCCAGCTCCTGAGCTCAACCGCAAATACCCCTGTTTCCTCCAAAGCTCCACCCTCGTCCTCAGCCCAGGCATGCCGGCAGTTCCCGAGTCGAGTCAGCCGGCAGATAATATGGCAAGCCCGCCAAGCGCAAGACTCACCCCAGTCCCAGCTCCTCGAGAGCGCTTGGCTGTGCCTGCTCCTCCAGCGCACCCTCCAGTGCCAGCGCCACGTAAGCGCTACCCTGATCCCCAGTTAAGCCCAGGGAGGGCTCCTGTTCCCGAGTTAAGCCTAGAGTGGGCTCCTGTTCCCAAGTTAAGCCCAGAGAGGGCCCCTGTTCCCGATGGAGGGCCTCAGAGACCGAAATTTCCCCCAATGGGGGGGGGGGAATTTCGGGTTCTGAGGCCCTCCATCAGGAGGGCACTCTGTGCACTATGTGTGTGTTCCCTGTTAGTTTGGTTAATTAATATTAATTAGTTAATGATATTAATGAATTGGCTCTTGTTTATTCCAACATATGACAGTTGTTTTTACAGTTGAACATGTTTCTAAAACTCATTATGTTTTGTTATTGCACTTCAGACTTCTATGCTCACAAATCTCGTTTAATCCACACTAATTAATGGTTTAAAGTGAGCCAACAGTCAGTGGTGTTGTCACTGACACATCTAATTATACATCCATTTCATGGATTTTCTGAGGATGGAAAGTAAAGGACAGACCATCAAGTCATTATCACCCCTCTGTTCCACACACACACACTGTCCACTCCTCAGCACTGACGACAGATCTGTCACACTGCACCGCTCTAATCTCCCTGTGTATTTGCTGTAGGTCGCACCCACACAGTTTAATAATAAACTGCTTTTTATATTGCTCTTTCAAAGCTAATGTGCTGTTTGCCTGGATTTTCTACTGTGCACATTTTTGTAACTGGGGAAAGCGAAAAATATAAACTCAACAATTAAAAGACTAAAAACATGTAGTTTTAGATCTGTCACACTGCACCGCTCTAATCTCCCTGTGTATTTGCTGTAGGTCGCACCCACACAGTTTAATAATAAACTGCTTTTTATATTGCTCTTTCAAAGCTAATGTGCTGTTTGCCTGGATTTTCTACTGTGCACATTTTTGTAACTGGGGAAAGCGAAAAATATAAAACTCAACAATTAAAAGACTAAAAACATGTAGTTTTTAGGACTATAAAGCTAGGTACATATGTGTTTTGAATGTGCCATAGTTGCCCAGTTCACAAAATACTAGTGTGTCCGCAAGTGGATTTTTAAATTCACACATTTTCAGTGACAAGTGAAGAAATGTTTTGAGCATTACTGTGTACAGCATCTTCTAAATCCTCAATGGAACATCACGTTTTCAAAGCTTTAATCCACCGAAGCCGATCTGAGAAAGCAGAGGCTTGTAAACATATGCCGAGACTATTTCATCCTTTCTCCTCACACAGAGGTCTGTAGTGGATATTTCACCACAAATCAGCTTGAAGCACAAATGACAGAGAGTTGAAGGAGGCTAGTCAAGGGTGTCAAGTATCAGTACTCTGAACAACTACACCCTTCAGTACAGTGTGTGGGAAAAGAGACTGATAAATCCATGATGCATCCAGATCTAAAAATAAGACCAAAAGGAACCTAATCTTTATTTATATTAAATGCGTAAAGGTTATGTGTGTGACTGCCAAAGTTATGTTTTATATAATTCATAAAAAAGGAAATTAGTATTTGTTTATTTATTTATGACACATTTTGTTCAGTTTGATCTTTGTGATTTATAAAGACTGAAACAATAGCATCAGTAAATCAGTAAATGATATCGAAAATCTCAAAACCCTTAAAACCAAAACAATCTGTCATCTCATTAATAACTTTCTGTATGTAGAGCCCATCTGGAATTCATTTGTATACAGATTTACAATTATAACTCTTTCATGAGAAAACATACTGTATTTATTTGAACTTTTTGGTGAACTGGTAGTGAAAATGTATGAATTTGTATGATTTATTTCATATGAAACCCCAACTTTTAAGAGAAAAAAAAAAACAGACTAAAAAAAAAACTAAGAACGTACAAAAAAATACAAATGCATCATCAAATTGCTGAAACATAAAATAGTTCTGAATTTCCACACTGACAAAAATGTGTATAGAATTTACTTTGAATCAGTTTTCACTCAGTAATTGCTACTAAATTTTTTCGCATAATTGCTCCAATTATCTTTGTTTTAATAAATAAATTTTACAGTGCATTCATTAGAAAAATTGCACATTTCTAAAGTTGACCAGAACTACACATTACCTACACAGACAGATCAGGTAAAAATAGTTTTGCCCACATATTACTGCATATTTTGTGCATTTAATAACACTGTTAATTGGCTTCATTTGTATTGGAGGAATGGTTTGTTACAACCACAGATGAATTAACTGTGCAGAATATATTTGCTTGTGTCTCCAAAGTTATTAATGCCTCCGAGTATTTTATTTACCTCATAAGCTGATGAAAATAATTAGGAATCCAGACTGCAGTGTAGTAACACAGAAAATTATATCACAATTCAGAGGCTTTGGCTGTATATCCTGCAGTAATGAGATGTTTAATGAATGTAACAATGTGCTCTCTCGTGCAGATACGCTGCCTCAGTAAAGGACGGATCACAGTACTTCATCCTCCTCATCATCACGGATGGAGTGATATCAGATATGGCCCAGACAAAGGAGTCCATTGTCAATGTAGGTGTCCAGTCTACTAAACTACATTGAATGCTCATGTTGACTTTAGCTCTATAACCATCCAACCCGATCTCACAGCAATTTGTACATATTTTACGAGGTATTCTCACTCGTACGAATTCGTACGATTTTTGCTAAATTGTACATATTTTATGAGTTCCCCAATTTGTATGAATTCGTATGAATGACCTACCCCTAACCCTGCCCCTAAACCTACCCATCACTGGAGTCTAGACAAATCATACAAAATCGTACGAGTGAGGTCGTACAAATTCGTACGAATTAACCACCTCGTAAAATCCTTTCAAATTTTATCGTGAGATAGCGTTGAACCATCTGTAAAATATATTAACTCAATAGTCATTAG